GGAAGGTAACAGCGTTCCGTGCACCTTGGTGTTTAGTCATGCCGGCCACATGACCACTGAAACGTCTTCGGACAGCGCTGGCTCTTCGGCTTTGAAACGGAGATGAGCACCGCAACCCTAGAGTCGGATTCGACTGGCTTTCGAGCAAGGGAACCTTTACCTTTACTATTCAAGATAAGCATGCGCTAGCTTTTAAACTCATATGGTTCAATCAGGCATTATGTTTGTTAGGCGCTATGACCCCCTTTGAAAGAAGACAAGAAATCTTTGATGGTCTGAAGCATACAAATTGTGAATAGCATAACACCGTAACCAGCCTTGCGATTCTGAATGTACATTTTCTTAGTTAAAAAAAACACACCTCCACTCTCTAAACAGCAAATGAACCTCTGACCTCAGAGAAAAGTGGGTTAAAATGCTCTAAATGAAGTTAAACTTGAAGAGAACACCAACATTTTAGTCAGCCTACTTTAAACACGAGGGGCTTGGAGCCAAAGAAGTGCACAACTCGTTTGAGTTGGGGATTGTGTTTCTTGAATAGCAGGCCACGTGGCGATCCACTTTTGAAACTGAGGGGACTTTCGAAAGCAGGTTGTGATATGGCTCAGAGGTGTGCTATTCAGGGGAAAGTTTTTAAAAATCCCAGTGGGCAAGCCCAGGAAATATCCAATGTAGCTCTGTGCAAGATGGACAGAAACAGTAGTTAAAAATACTAATAATATGGTATTGTTTTAAAGTTAGTTTGTGTTTTTAAAAAGACAACAAAGCGGGTCAGTTTTAATGGAACATTTGTGTACTTAAATGCATAATAACTGACTCCTCCCCCCCCCAAAAAAGGCATATCAACATTCAGCAATTATGTCATTGCTTTAATATGATTCTGGAAGTCAACACAAACACACCTACAAAGGAAAAAGAACGATGACAGCAATATCTTAATGAGTGTGTAACAGGGCAGCTTCTGCCCTGCACCAGGGGTGCTCTTTCCTGAGACAGGGACACCCCAAAACAACCTCTGAACCTTCACAAATGGTGCCCTCGTGAAGCCAGGCTTGGCTTAAACACTGGCCTTTGCTGGGGGACTAAGAGAAATCTCACTTTGGCTTAAACACACGCTAAGTGAAGTCCACAGTCTAGCTGCACTGCCAAGCATCCTCCATGCAAGCACCCCCCCCCACTCCTCCCCTATCAGATCACTCCATAAGGACTAAAAAGGTAAAGGTTCCCTTGCTCGAAAGCCAGTCAAATCCGACTCTAGGGTTGCGGTGCTCAGCTCCGTTTCCAAGCCGCAGAGCCAGCGCTGTCCGAAGACGTTTCCGTGGTCATGCGGCCGGCATGACTAAACACCAAGGCGCACGGAATGCTGTTTCCTTCCCACCGAAGTGGTACCTATTTATCTACTTGCAATCTCTTGCTTTTGAACTGCTAGGTTGGCAGGAGCTGGAACTAGAGACGGGAGCTCACTCCATCATGCGGCACACTCGGGTCTCAAACTGCTGAACTACCGACCTTCCACAGCCTGCAGTTCAGCGTCTGAACCACTTGAGCCACCGCAGCTTCATAAGGACTAAGAATGGACAAATCTCTACCCCTTGCCTCAGGCGTCTCCTCCTGACCAAATGGCCATTTTTTTGTCTGTCAAATATACAGGCAGAGACAAAGAGCCAATGGCACGTGTGTCTGTCCCGAATGGAGCATGTTGCATGTTTCCTGCCCCAAATCCTGTCACACCTGTATGTCAGGAAATACCTTCTGGATAATCGTCTCATTCCTGTCTAAAATATCTGCATTCTGTATACCTATATACCAGACCCATCAAGGTAAACATTAACTCTTCAGTGGCTGCAGTCACACGGAACATTAGCCACACAAGAGAGATAGAAGACAGGCGGATTTTCCGGGCGCGATCTCACCGGCACATCTGGGAAGTGTAGCGCTTCCGTGGTACAACCAAGGCTTCTTGCCGAAAACACGCAGCAAAAAACTAGTACCTCGGAGGTACTAGTTTCCGGAAACCGTGGGGCAAGGGCGGGCGTCTGATCGCGTTTCCGGTGGCATCCGGCGCCCACCCATGTCCCCTTGCGAAAAAGGAGCATGCGCATTCGTCATGTACACACAAAAAAAAAACCAGTTTGCCACACTGCGCGCTTCTTCGTTGTGCGCAGGCGTGTCTTGTGATCAGCACCTCTCCCTACCCACGGAACCTCCACAGAAGATCTGATCGCTTAACCACACGTTAGTTTGCCCCGGGGCAAACAGCCACGCTTCCCCCCCCTGCAGTTTCCTGCCCGTGTGACCGGAGCCAGTGTCTAGTGAATGGTCACCCATTCAGGGTCATCCTGCCACATATTAAGAAATATCAACTCCTTTTGTCTGGTACCAGGGAAATGCCGGATCACACTAATGTTCCACAATGGGAATCCTATCAATCCATTGTTAAACTAACCACCATAATTTAACATACCCCCAGGATACATTTCACATGCCCAGTGTGATTTAAGCTTGGGCACCCAGAGAAGCTTTTCACCCCCAATACATATCAGGTCTTTGTGCATGGCACACTGATCACCCCAAAACTTCCCATCTTCTTCTATTTATCCGCTACTTCCTTTTCCTTCCAATGTCTTGTGTGTATGCTCTTTAATCTGTGTGTATATATTTAAATTCTGGGTTTTTTTTTACAATAAACTCATTTCCTTTTAATATTGGCCTGGTTCTTGGCTCCAAAAGAAATAAAAGGGTTAAAGGGAAAGATCCCCATAAATACTGGTAGCCAGATCTCACTCTTTACTCTTGCTAGCGTGGCCTTTTTGCGAACTTCCCCAATCAAACCGAAGACAACAATATTATTTCATAAAGCTGGTAGGGGAAACAAGTGGAAAAGTTATTCCAAAAGATAACACCCTTCAAGGTGGAAAACAGCTAATTGTAAAATATACCTTTTTTCCTACGTTCCGCCTCTTGCCGTTTGAGGAATGCTTTCACTGATGCTGAGTGGACACCTTTCACTCTCGGATCCTTTTTGGGAGGGCCGACTGCCAAGCTGTATCTTTTCTGCGGGAGAAAGGAAGTTTCCAGTAAATATGAAACCTAACAAATGTTTCAAAACTAATGCCAGCCTTATTAAAGCCACAAAAAGAAGAAAGAAACTGTGAGGTAACTGCGCTAGATAATATTTCAATAATAATCACAAAATTGTACAAAAATGTGTGCAGAAAATTATATAAATATACAAGACAATAGAAAATGATGTGTTGACGATGGTCTCCGGAATGCTCTATCGTTTCGATACTATTCTTCTTCCGAGAGTGAATGAAAACAGTGACTCTTGGTCTGTCTTTTCAACTAGTAGGTATCAAAAATCCATAATATTCACCTATGTATCATGACTTAATTGCAAGAATTTCTCTGACAGAATGTTCCTGGGGCAAGGTGCTTGTACATTCTGTCAGAGAAATTCTTTATGTAAGCTGCCCTGAGCCGCTTCGGCGGGAGGGCGGGTTAGAAGTTTAATAAATAAAATAAATAAATAAACCGCTATGAGCCCATGTGCACAGATTGAGGAGTAACACTGGGAAGTATATGTTCGGGGAAATGATTTTCTATGAAGGCCAGAGGATTCCCCCTTTGCTGAGATCTGTGAGGAATAAAAATCACTTCAATGCCTTTTTGCTAGGAAAGCAGGCAGTTTATTTAAGAATGATTCCATCTGATACCAGCACACTGAAGGAACCAGCAAGCTGGCATGTTTTAACTGACAGAGAGTCCATCTTGTATAGAAGAATGTAAACAAGGCAGTCTGGCTCTGATAACTTGGAGGAGCCTTAATTCTGGAGCTGACACACCTATTCCCAGGGCTATTTTTGGGCAGGAACGCACAGGAACGGAGTTCCGGCTGGTTCCTGAGTTGGCCACGCCCATCAGGAACTCATTAGCATAATAGGCCACTCCCAATAGCAGAAACTCATTAGGATTGGCTACATTAGGGGTGTGTGGCCTAACATGCGAAGGAGTTCCTGCTACAAAAAAAAAAGCCCTGGGTTTTGACAACAAACAAGGTAAACAGAATAAGAAGGGAAAGGTGGGTGTGGCTGGATGACCACACTTCTGGTAACATGGGGGTGTGGCCAAATGTGCTAATGAGCGGTGCTGTCAGGGGTGTGGCCTAATATGCTAATGAGTTCCTGCTGGGCTTTTTCTACAAAAAGAGCCCTGCCTATTCCTGACTTTTGTTCGCAGAACAATTTGAAGGACGTAAACTTTAGATAAGATACTCATGTCTCCATTGGGTGATCATGTCCTGGAAGCCTAAAGGTTATAAGGTTAATTTGGGGCAAGGGGTGGGCAAAAGGTCAGACACATCATAAAACATGGGGAATTAATACAGGAAATTGGCTTGACTATAAGAAACTAGTTATCCATGTAATCAATCTCATGCTCAACAACTAAAAGGAGAGGTTACTGGATTTTTACCTCAGCCAGCTAACAATGGACTAGATTTGTCTAACAGTTTACTGGGAAGCTTACCAAAAGAACAAGTTACTAAACAACAACAAAAAGTCAAAACGATGGCTCAAATAAGCCATGACAAGTATGCTTGGGTTATACTGAAAGTGACTCATTTCCTCTCCTAAAACGTCTAGGTATTGCCAGACTGGGGAGGACGTCAAAGCACATTATCTTGTCTCACTTCGACAATACCCAAAAGCACAAATTACTTTTCTCTCCTCTGTCACAGCTTCTTTGATGTCCGAAATATCACTGAGCTATATGGAAGAGAAAACGGAAAGGAGAAGAACCAAGAGAAGTGCATGGTTTTAGATACCCGAGATACAAAATGTGTGATCTTGATAGCTTCTGTTTGTATAACTGCTGGAGGAAGATTAGAAGATCTCAAGCTTTACAGGCATCCAAATGGTTCCTTCACAACAATGAGACACCTCCCCCACTCACCCAAAGGGCATAAATTTACCACTAAGAAGAAGAAGAGGAGATTGGATTTCTACCCGGCCCTTCACAACCCAAAGGAGTCTCAGAGCGGCTTACAAACTCCTTTCCCTTCCCCTCCCCACAACAGACACCCTGTGAGGCAAAAGAATTAGAGATTGGATTTATACCCCACCCTTCCCTACCCAAAGGTGTCTCAGAGCGGCTTACAAACGCCTTTCCCTTCCCCTCCCCACAACAGACACCCTGTGAGGTAGGTGGGGCTGAGAGAGCTCTGACAGAAACTGCTCTTTTTCAAGGACAGCTCTTATAGGAACTGTGGCTTGTCCAAGGTCATCCAGCAGGCGCAAGTGGAGGAGTGGGGAATCAAACCCGGTTCACCCAGATTAGAGGCCACGCATTTAACCACTACACCAAACCTGCAAACAACTGGTAATAACTGACAAAATATTATTGCCTAGATAATTTTATTATGATATTAATAGTGTTTAAAGTCTAAATGCTTATTTAAATATTTACTTCAATTATACTCTGCCCGGCTCCCCAGTAGGGCCCCTGTGTGGCTTACATTGTTCCCCTCTCCCAGGGGTCATTTTGTAGAAAAAGAGCTAGGGGAACTCATTAGCATAACTCATTAGCATATGCCACACCCCCTGACATCAGGGGCCCAGCGGTGGACCTGCAAGGCCAGCGGGAGTGCGAGGAAGCCCCGCCAAGGCCCTCCCTGGCCCCAGGCAGGCAGGGGTGGGGAGAGGCGGGGAGGAAGCAACTTACCCTCCCTCTTCTCCTGCCTCCTCCTGGCTGAATGAGGGCTGGAAGCAGGGCGGCCGGAAGCAGGGGGCAGGGCTTCGTCATGTGCCCCGCCCCCCTGCACCTCACTTGGGGGAACTGTGTTCCCCCGCGTTCCACCTCTGCCCTCTCCTCTGTCTTATCCACTCAACAACTCTGTCCAGCAGGTTAGGCTAAAAGTGCAGGTGTGGCCCAAAGTCAGTCAGCAAGCTTCCACGGCAGTGTGGGGATTCGAACCTGAGTCTCCCAGACCCTAGTCTGACACTCTAACCACTATACTACACTACCTTGAAGTCCCAGGGGGATTTAATACCAAGTATGTAGAGGACCAGAGTACACACCTGTTTGCACATGCTGAACATAGCAGGTAAGTTCAAACAATATTATTCTTTATTTAAAATATGGGTGCAAACCACGTTATTCTATTTTACTCTACAGCATCCATATCAATGTTTATGCAGGGACAGCTGTCCTGACGTGCTTTTTCCTATACAGCTAAAAAAAATCATTACAATTAAATCTTTAACTGACATGTACACTCCAAATAAATTACAAGCTACTTTATGCTATGCATCATTGCATGCTTGCTAAACTTTGCTTCGACTGGAATTCCTGTGCCATGAGATGAGAAACAACAGAACAAAGGCTATGAATTTAGCCTTTATAAAACATACAGCCTGTATTAACCCTACAGCAGTTGTGTTATTAAATTACAAGCAGCTACACTGAATGAACAGACCAGGTAACCATGACCATTATATCCCCTACTAGGAAAAAGGCCCGTTGTGGAAATAAATACAATGGCCTCTAGAAAGAGGCTCTGGGCGAATGCCCCAGCCTTGGACACTTAGTGTCAATTTGCTGTGGTGACCTCAGCAGGGCATAATGACATTGAGTCCACCGTTTTGAGTGATCTCCAGCCCTCACCTGGAGATTGGCGATGGTTCCCCAGAAGGGAATAGTTGGTTTGGAGGGTGGAGTCTATGGCTCTGTACCTGTCCAAGGCCCCACGCCTCCTGAAACCTCACCCTTTCCCGTCTCCATCCCTCACATCTCCAGGAATTTCCCACCTGGAGTTGGCAATCCTATCTCCTTCCCAGCCAATCATCAACCTACCTTTATTTCCCCCTCACTTTTCAGCTTTCCGATACAGAGCCCCCCATTTTCTCCAGGGGAACTGATCTCTGCCATCTGGAAAGCAGTTGTAATTCTGAGTGCTGGAGATTGGACACATTTTACCTCAGAACAGCAAAACTGTTTAGAATGTTAGAGGCAAAAGCCAATCAAGTCGCATATTCAAACGACCTCTGTGTTCCGAGGCAGAGGCCAATGGGGCTGCATATGCAAATAACCTCTGTGTCCTGACTGGCTATGGGGGGGAGAGGAACAGCAAAATGTTTAGAATGTTGGAGGCAGGACTCAGGCAAAGCAGCCAGTGGATAAGGAGACCCTCTGAATGACAGATCAGAGAGCGAACTGATTTTGGAGCGTGTGGAATGTTCTAGAGAAGTGCCACCACCATTCGGCTTTTATTTATAAGGGAGATGTGATAAAGCAACAGCACCAATCAGCCTTCAAAGTGCTCTCCAAAAGTTTGCCCCTTAACAAAAAAGCGCACAGATCAAGCTAACTTAAGTGTGTATTTTACAGCTGTAAACTGTGATTATCTCTTTCTGAACAGCGCCAGATGGCCATTCTGTGGCTGAACGCTACAAAAATGTGCAGGCTGGCATTGCTGTATCACAAAGTATAGGGCCTTCAAGTGATAAACATGGTATAAAAATACAAAAGCCTTTAACACCTCATTTTAAAACAGGATTACATACCACAACCTTTAAAATACCGGCAAAAATCAGCCTTACAACTTTATTGGTTTCAAGGTTGGCATTTATTCCCACTCTTAGAAAGAGCAGATAAAAACAAAAAACAAAAAACCAAAAAAAAAAACCATTCAAACAAAGACTCTAAAGAGTACCGGTTTTCAGCTCTTTCATATTACTAAACTTAATACTGAAAAAAATCACTCAGCCTTGACTGAACAACAGTCATGATGAAAATGGCCAGTTTCAAGGAGGCAAGCCTGTGCGTACTTGTACATGGATTAGCTTTTAAATATAGCCAACGCACCCAAGCATACTTGGGTCAGACAGAGGCACCTGTAGTTACAGCTGAATGATCAGAGAAGGTATTACAAGCTTACTAGTTGCTTCATTCTTCAAAACAGCTAATTATTTCTTAGTGTGGTTTTCTTTAGGGAGATGAACTAATAGGTCTATAATTTTAGCGGGACATGATGCAACCTTTTTTTTTACTTCTCA